GGATTAGACTTGGGATTTTCGTTGAAACGGGAGCAGGAAGAGGCTCTAAGCTCATTAATTTTTGAAAAGGACATATTCGCCGTTTTACCGACAGGCCGTTTGTTTACACTCCCCCACCAGCTTTCTGTCGCACTCACTTCATCAGTTGCGCTCATTGGTCAGAGCGTTGACCAATAGGCACAGATATGGTTTGAAAAACAACGGATTATTCTCGTCAACAATCTTCCAATGTCTCATTCTACGGGGCAAGACTAAATTACACATTTAATCTCAAATTTAGTCTGGTTTATCAGGCTATATCAATATTGTAACTGTTTCTTTCCTAGACAACGCCACCATTGTTGTCTCTAACTTAGAAACTATTCTTAGATCTGTGCTTTGTGTTCCCTATTAAGTGTATGCCCTGTTTTCTCCAAGACCTGGTTGACCACAGAAGAATGCCATTCACACTGTGCCTGGTTCTGCTCAAGGTTATTTCCCTCTAAAATTGAGCTTTCCTGTTTACTGCAAAGGCATGAGTGGGATGAGGGATTGGTGGAAAGTCAGCAACAAAATACAAACTTCTGTGTTGCTACATCCTCATCAAGTAGGAGTGATTTCTGCAAAGTCAGTGATTCAATACAATATGCTGGGCTTCCGTAGATATATATATATATATATATATATATATATTTTTTTAACATTTTCCTTTAAGATTTAAATTAACACACTCTGTAAAGCACCTTGAGGTGACCAGTGTTGAGAATTGGTAATATTGGATTGGATGTGATTAGAGCAAAGACTTAGATAAGCGCACTTTACTAATTTAATTGTTGGTGTACTTTGCATGATTTCTTCTGACTTTATCGGTCTTATTTCTGGGTGTCTGGGGTAAACCAGTTTTTCTCTCAGGGTGTTGTCGGGTTTGAATTGCACAGGGATCTGGTGCTGGTTGAAAGTCCTCCTGAGTTTTTCAGAGACTCCAGCAATATAGGAGTCAGAAAAATGCAAATACAGCAAAAACTCCAATACAGCATGCGGCACCATAAAGTATTGGCGACAAGGGAGAAATATTAGGTGATGAACTGGATCTATGGCGGTGACATAGAGAACAAGTTCTCTTTAATAGACATCAGGGTAAGAACGGGACGGAAGCGAGGCAGGTTTGCAGTGTCGGTCGTCTTACTGTCCTGAAACGCACATGTTTGCCAGGGGCAGGTGAGTGGAATCTGGGATTGTGTTAAAGTTTCTGATGGGGAAGGAGTTTGGTTCTTCCAAAGAGGATGGTGGTGCTGAAAGGATGACTGAATACTGCTGACCAAAAAGGGACAAAAACCTGTACAGTGTATGCTCGCCTTAAGTGAGTTGATGTTGCTGGCAGTTACAATTAGCAGACTGCAGAAAAGATGGGTAAAAGTTAAGAGCTTTCTCAAGACTTTTGCAACCGTATTGTTGCAATCAAAAGATGGCAATAGTTATTGAACAATTTCTAAATTATTGAATGTTCCAGTGAGACTGTTGGGCCATAATTCTGAAGGGAAAAGAATATATTTTCACCATAAACCAACCACTACCAGGTGCTCCTCGCAAGATGTTTGACAGAGGAGTGTAAAGAATTATCAGAAGTGTTGTCCAAGAGCCAAATACAACTTGTGGAGAGCTTAAAAAGACCTGGAATTAGCACATTATAATAGTTTCAAAGAAAATAGCAAGTATTGCCCTCAACCCCTATGGCCTGCATGCAGGCTCACTGCACAAGACTCCATTGCTGAAGAAAAAGCAAGTTGAAGCATGTTTAAAGTTTAGTTTATCCCTAATGTCATCATTTAAATGTAAATAATTTAATGATGACTTAAGGGATAAAGTGAAAGTAATTTTGGATAAGATTCTGGTTGTGACTGCACTTAGGTTTTGAGTTAATAATGAATTACTCATTAAAGACACTGTTTATTCTGATAAGAACATTAACTGCACTCTCTTGTGTGCCGGAGGATACCGGAAGAATGGATTGCTGAATTGTGATGAGAACACTCCATGAGAACCACCACATGGATTCAGCATCTACACTGTCACCAGACTGCATGGAGACCAAAGGGGCTGTGGAGGAGGCCATATGAGACTCTGATTGATTAATTAGATTGATGAGTGATAGAGACACTGAAAGAATTCATCATCGTCAGTGATGTTCATCATTTGCCTTTAACTCGGACCAGAATAATTCTTGATTTTACCTAATTGTGATTTATCTGTTTGATTTATTTTGATTTTGTTTTGATGAAAAACATAGAAACAGTTTCAGTGTATTCTCATTATCAGTTCGTATGAAATCGTACGAAAAGTTATGCACCGTAATTTCGTACGTTTGACGTTTTTTTCGTGGTATTTCGTCGTATTTTTACGTCTTGCCTCAAGACAAGATATCCTTGGGCATGCGCATCTTATGCACCATTCAATAACATAGAATTTAACATACAATTAACCCTAACCCTGACCCTAACCCTAAGATACAGAACAGCAAGTAACCTAGTGAGAGACATGAAGAAGTAATTATTGCACTGTTTTTCCCAGTTTTATGTCCTTCCACAGATCTGCTTTTTTCGTCTGTATGGTTGCGCATGCGCACTGATCTGTTTTTTCGAGGAAAAACGTCAAAAACGTATGAAATACTGTGCATAACTTTTTGTACGATTTCATACGAACTGATAATGAGAATATGTTGACAGTTTTGCTCCAGACCCACCAAGATCAAGTTTTATGCCACTTTTGCTTTGATATAGAAAGACTCAGAACCTGATTGGCATAAACGTTCTTTAGTTAGTTGGTAATGATAATTGTCAGATTCAAAACAGAGTTTTCTTGCTCAGATTGGCCGAGAGTGGGACTTCCCTGGGGTCACCCCGGTTTTTTGTCCCGAGTGATCTTTTTTCAGGGAAAAGAACCCGAGGGATAGAGCATCAGGGTGCATACAGAGAGCCTATCTTTAACACTGCACATTTAGCCTATGAAATACCGGGAGAATATAGTCTGGTCAGATGAGACCAAAACTAAACTCTTTGGATGCCATACACATCATGTTTGGAGGTCACATAGCACTGCACATCACCCAAAAACTCCATACCAACAGTGAAGTTTAGAGGTGGGAACATCATTGCATGGGGCTGTTTTTTAAACATACGGTACTGGCAAACTTCAAACAATTGAAAGGATGAATGGAAAAATGTACAGAGACATTCTTGATAAAAATCAATTCCATCTACCAGGATGATGAAGATGAAACATGGGTGGACATTTCAGCAAGACAATGACCCCAAACACACTGCCAAGGAAACTCAATTGGTTTCAGAGAAGGAAAATAAAGCTGCTAGAATGGCCCAGCCAATCACCTGACTTGAATCAAATAGAAAATCTATGGAAAGAACTAAAGATTACAGTTCTTTCAAGATTTGAAGACGAAGCGTTTTTGGACCTTGTCTTTTCTCCAACACTGTTTACTTTTGATCACTGCTGCAATTTATGGAATGGAAATGTTCTGAAAGCTGTACAAAACGTTTTTTTTTGTATAAGCTTTGTGTATACAAAACAACAACAAAAGTTGTTTAAGTCTATGGAAGAATAGGCTAAAATCCCACCTGAGTAGTGCATGCAACTCAATTCTCCACAGAGAAGGAATCTTGAAGCTGTTATTGCCAACAATGACAGCTAACCTTGCAACCTGCATGCATCTAATAAAATTATTAGAACATATAACCTACATCTAAAAGCTAAATTACCCTTTTTATTTATTTCTATAACCTTTTAAGCTATTACATTTTGATTATTCCAGAAAAACAATACATAATAAAAGATATATTTAGGGCTATTTTTTTTTTCCTTTTAGTTATACTGAGGCTGATCCATCCATTAGAGACCTTTATTATGTCTTCAGTATAGGGACCATAACATGGGGCGAGGACAGTTCAATAGGAGAACCCTGCTGGAACCTGTCTAAAACAGCCATTGTCAGCACATACCTCAAAACAACCCAAAGGAGACTTGCTTGTGGTTTTGCCACAGTCTGCTATTAATTGCATGAAGGAAAAGGATTAAAAATCTTAACTCCTTATGTAGTAGGAAGTAGTAATATGTAGTTAGGTGAAACTGTATTTTTTTATGGAAGCGACAGTTTTAATGCCTGTACAATAATTTTGTTGATGCTTCACTATTCCATGAAATATACTGAATGCATATTCATAGAAATCATTGGCTTATCACTGCTAATTTTCTATCCTGTTTCCTAGAAAGTAATGTATGTTCAGTCTGTTATTTTGTTTACAGTTTAAAATCTAGACAAAATTACAGACTGTGTATTATAAAGTAAATAACTTGCAAGATAAAGTAAAAAAAAAAAAGCCTTTACAAAAAATAATATTCAATATGCACTTCTCTTTTCTTGCCCCACCCAGAATGATGAAGCAGTTTTTCATTATATCTCAGATGGGGAAGATAGAGCATAAATATTGTGTGAGAGCTTTAAATGTGCTTCTTTCACTAAGCACAATGCCTGCAGCAACATGGGCACAGTATACAAGGAAAATTTTGTATTTGTTGTTGTCTGCATCTTTTTCACACACAGAAAAAGAAGATTGTCTACATAGAGGAGATCTTGAGGATGCCCAACTATTCAAGAATGGGGACATTATGTTGGGGGGAGTCTTCTCCTTCCACAGCAGCTGGAGGAATATTCAAGAGAACTATGAACAGAAACCTCAACAACTTCAATGCACCAGGTGATTAACACAATTATGCTGGTATAAAAAAGGATATATTAGTTACTTTATAATTAATGTGTAGTTAAATTTGTTTGGATTTCACATGTATTAATTTTTTGTTTTTATTTTAAGTTTAAATTTCAGAGACTTCCAGTTTGCACAGGCCATGCTATTTGCCATCGAGGAAATTAATAACAGCACAGAGCTCCTGCCAGGAATTACTCTGGGCTATAAAATGTATGATGCTTGTGGTTTTATTGCCAGAAGTGTAAAAGTTGCATTGGCCTTACTGAATGGTAATGAGATTAAAGCTTCATCTTCAAAGGCATGTACAAGACCTGCAGAAGTACAGGTGATAATGGGAGAAACCTCTTCCTCTCCTAGCGCAGCCATTGCCACTGCTGTTGGACCCTTCCGAATACCGATGGTGGGTAAAAATTGTAATTGAGAGATTTGATTATGCTTGTTTTTCGAAATTATTTTATAAATAATTTTTTTTCTCTCTTAGATCAGCCATTTTTCCACATGTGCTTGTCTCAGTGATAAAACCAAGTATCCATCATTTCTTAGAACTATTCCCAGTGATTATTACCAGAGCAGAGCTTTGGCCCATTTGGTAAAACACTTTGGATGGACTTGGATAGGAGCTGTTAGATCCAACGATGATTATGGAAATAATGGCATGGCAACATTCTCTGAAACTGCAAATCAGCTGGGCATATGTCTTGAATATTCTGTATCATTCTTTAGAACAGATCCTCCAAATAAAATACAAAGAGTTATTGAGACTATTAAGACATCCACCTCCAACGTTGTTGTTGCTTTTCTTTCCCACATGGACTTAGATGTCTTGTTACATGAGTTTTCCAAAAATAACTTAACTGGCTACCAGTGGGTTGGAACTGAAGGCTGGATGTTTGATTCTCAAATTGCAGCAATGGATACAGATCAAATTCTGGATGGGGCAATAGGCCTTTCCATTCCCAAAGCACATGTAAATGGACTCAGAGAGTTCATGTTTAATGTTAAGCCACTAAATTCATCAAATAGTGACTTATTTACAAAGCTTTGGGAAGAATTATTTAGCTGTAAATTCAATCAATCCCACTCAGGAAAAAATAAGAAGGAATGTACTGGAGAGGAAAATGTTTCAGAAGTAAAAAACAGCTTCACTGACATGTCACTCATGCCCATATTTTACAATGTTTATAAAGGGGTTTATGCCGTTGCTCATGCTTTGCATGGAATTCTCAACTGTAATACGACATGTGAGAAGAATGTCCATCTAGATCCCTCAACAGTAGGTTTAATCCCATTTCTTAGCTTTATCTTGACAATACTAAATATGTTGTATTAATATATAATAATTTATAATGTAAAAATTATTGTTCTTTTACTTTCATGTTAGATTTTACAGCAAATACAGAGGATTCACTTCAAAACAAAGGAAGGAGATGAAGTTTATTTTAATGAGAAAGGAGATCCACCAGCAAAGTATGATATTATTAATTGGCAACGGGGGGAAAATGGCATGTTGAACTTTGCAGTTGTTGGCCTTTATGATGCATCATTACCAGCTGATAAACAACTAAATGTGAATATTAGTTCAATCATTTGGTCAAAAAACATGCTGCAGGTAAGTTTTCAAGTAATTTTCTTAATGATTTAGCAATTAATAAAAAAACGGTTTAGTATTAAACACTTGGAAAATGATTAAATCAATGTTATGTTTTTTTGTTGTACTAAATCTTTATGCAGGTTCCTGTTTCAGTTTGCAGCGAAAAGTGTCCACCAGGAACACAAAAAGTTCTGCAGAAGGGAAGGCCCATTTGCTGCTTTGACTGTATAAGGTGTGCAGAAGGAGAAATTAGTGACAGCATGGGTAAGTTACAATTAGTGTCTATGTTTATGTAAGAATAATTAAACTGCTGTATTTATCTGTAAAAAATAAGGCCTAGAGAAAGTTATTTACTGTATGAAATCAGAATTCTTCCAAATGGCCACATGTGTAATCAGTTTTATTGAAACACACTCACATAAAATGCTCTCCATGCATATTTTGAATTTAAGTTTACCATCTCTTGCTTGATTATACAGATTCTGTCACCTGTGTGAGATGCCCCCTTGAATCCTGGTCAAATGAAAATCGAAATGCCTGTGTAAAGAAGAACATAGAGTTTCTTTCGTTTAAGGAAATCATGGGAGGATTGCTCACAGGAGCCTCTTTATGTGGTGCATGTATGACTGTCATTGTTGCAGTCATTTTTGTTAAATATCGAAAAACTCCTCTGGTGAGGGCAAACAACTCTGAGCTAAGCTTTCTATTGCTTTTTTCCCTAAAGCTGTGTTTCCTCTGCTCTCTTACTTTCATTGGCCAACCGTCTGAGTGGTCCTGCATGCTGCGTCACACAGCATTTGGCATCACTTTTGTCCTTTGCATATCATGTGTACTGGGGAAAACCATAGTGGTTTTAATGGCTTTCAAAGCTACAATTCCAGGGAGAAATGTGATGAAATGGTTTGGACCTATACAGCAAAGACTCAGTGTTCTGGGCTTCACTCTTGTACAAGTCATTATATGTATCATCTGGTTAAGTAATTCTCCTCCTTTCCCTTCCAAGAACTTTAAGGAATTCAATGACAAAATAATCTTAGAGTGTTCTCTGGGATCAGCTGTTGGCTTCTGGGCTGTCCTTGGGTACATAGGATTTCTTGCCATGTTGTGTTTTATGTGTGCGTTTCTGGCTCGGAAACTTCCTGATAATTTTAATGAAGCCAAATTTATCACCTTCAGCATGCTGATATTCTGTGCCGTATGGATAACTTTTATTCCAGCATATGTCAGCTCTCCTGGGAAGTTCAGTGTTGCTGTTGAAATTTTTGCTATTCTTGCCTCCAGTTTTGGATTATTGATTTGTATCTTTTTTCCAAAATGTTATGTCATAGTCATGAAACCAGAAAAAAATACAAAAAGGAATATGATAGGGAAGGGTGCCACAAATAATTTCTAAAACTGGATTTTATGTCAAAAAAGGAACACAAAAAATGCTACATTTCAGTTCATGAAATCAAATTAAATATATTGCCTTCCATAGTTGCCATTCAATTTAATTATTACAATGATAAAAGTCAGGTATATTTCCTCATTAAGTGTATTGATGGCTACCTTTTGCAGATCCAATATGGCATATTAGCATCAAGAAATGGACGATTTATAAATTGCAGGCGAACTGGACAATGGATAACTCTTGAAATGAAAAAAAAGAACAATAAAATGTTATACAGAGCCAGCTGAGGTTTTACAACTTGCTTTTTTTCTACCATTTGCTCCATATTTGAAACGGTCAAAAAAAAAAAAAAACTGGATACAATAGTCGTTCTTATGATGATGATAATGATTATCTTTATTTTTACAAGGACAGTGCGCGAATTAAGGACCTACAAAACAGTGAACATACCAGGTTAAAATATACAAATTTCCAACCATATTTGCTAACTGAGATTTATAAAGTCTCAGTTATTTCCTAACATCAATGCAGACTGACACAAAGCTACTTTATAAATAATAAAAAACACAGATATTTATACATTTGCCAGCAAAGTCTACATGTGTGGCATGACTGTTTCCTTCAGATGTAATTCTTTCAGCCTGTCAAAAAGGCAAGGCAAAGAAAGTTTATTTGTATAGCACAATTCAGTTCAATGACGATTCAAAGTGCTTTACATTAATTAAACAATAAAATATAATGAAAATAAAGCAGGAATGAAAGCAAATCGAGATAAAAACACAATAAAATCAGGTAACAAAAGAGTCACAAGCTGACAGCCCACCAGTGTGGCTGAAGCTCGTTCTCCAGGCGGCCACAGGTGACCCATCTTACAAACTACCTGCAAGGCCAACTATCATGAGAAGAACACATGACCAGCACGCCACGGAGAAAGCAGAGAAAGATGAGAAGTTGATCGAGGTGACGTGTGTGTCAGATTTTTGGAGACACTATATTGTTAAAGTGGGACATCTATAATTAGAAGTGGGACACTATTTTTTGCAGCGAAAACACAGTGACAAATGAGCAAAAAAAGTATTCATAACTTTGTCAAAATCTTAAGTAAGAAGATGAATTTACGTGTAATTTTGCAAACATAAAAAAGTAAACCTTTTCTTTAAGGTTCTGGAGCTCTTTGGCAGAATTCAAATTAGCAGTTTTAATCTAGATTAATTCCAAGATTACAGTGAGATTGATCTAGATTGAAAAAAAAAATCTACACCACCACTAATCTCAATGTGGCTGCACTACATACTTTCGCTCTTAACTGGGCAACTGCATGACACTTTCTGAGGAGGGGTCTATGTGATCTGTATGTTGTTCTGATCAGACCCACTGCGTTTTATTATTATTATTATTATTATTTGATGCCCTTATAGATAAATAAACTAATTCAAAAATCTCCAAGTAAACCAAAGGCTTTGTAAGTATGTCTGGAAAGATTTAGTGACCAAGATTTCTGACTTTTTTTGTTTTGAGAAAGTGAGACCTGAACCTGACTGGTTTCAGAGTTAGCATGATCTGGATATGCTTCCAAATCATTTAACTATTTTTTGTTATATCACATGAAAAGATGAGGTCCTTTATCTTCTCCTCGGCCTGCATCTTTTCAAACAGTGATCATACCCACCAATCTGCGATCAGAGCTGTTTTAAATTGCTTCTGCTTTTTGGATTGGCTATAAAAAAAACACACTCCTTTTCCAAAGTCTCGATGGTGAGAGCCAGTAACAGATCCTAATCCCCAATCCCAACACACCCCTTAGCCCTGCTATTTAGCCCATTCTGAGTTGTGGCTGGTGCCTTTCTCCCCTCGTGTAGGGTGTAGAACAGGGTGCCTATTGGGGTCAGTAGGGGGGCTTGCTCCTCAGTTGTTTGCTCCCTATCTCAGATGCTTCCCTTCACCTGCTTCGTCACACCAGGACACACATAAGATCTTGGGAATGAGATCATCAGCAGGGTGGGTCCTCCTATGCTGGTGGTGGCCATTGTCCCACTTTTGAAAAACACCTTCGACAGCATCATTTATACATTTCCAAGACATACAGTACATATGGCATCAGGATGGGCATATACAGGGCACTAGAGGTGGTCAGGCTTTCTAGCCTAGCTTCCAGTGCTCACCTTTGATGTTTGAAATGCATGTACACATTTTATAATAAATGTATAATACATTTTATTCAATTACATACTTACGGTTTAGGATGGGAGAAGTAGGGGGAAACGCCTAGCCTCCCACAGTTTTAAATACACAGTAGTCCAACAGGCAAAAACACTATATCCGAGCAGCAGGGAGGGACTGACATTGGGTCTTTCACACCCCTGTTCTCTTTGCTCTGCCTGGAGATGGAGCTGGGTCTTTTGGGTTGATCATGACTTGGCTGGGGTTTCTGGATCGCCTTGGGCTTTAATCCGGATCCACCTTGGGTGTGACTGGCTGCCGGCAGAGCCCCTGGGTTTGCTGCCAAGACCCCATGGCTCCTCAGGGATTGAACTCTAGGTGCTCTTATCTGCCTTTTGCTGGTGGACGTTTGCTGGGGCTCCCACTGCCTCTTTCTCTGTCCGGGGCCCTGTAGGACAAATCTGGGGCCGCCCACACCTGCTATTAAGCATACTTGTCTTTTAAAGATACTTTGTAAATCCTTTATACATGAGTAAGAATGCCCATGCATACATACCACAAACGTTTGGTTCCAGGTGTTCATTGATACACACCAACAATAAATACCAAGCTGCAGCTACAGATATATACCACCTATGAAAGTAGACGTCTAGGAGATAATGTGTATCCTCTGTGTTGACTTTTTTTGCTGTTTTGTTTTATTTTCGTGTCCGTTGTATACGAGTTCACTCCCTAACAGTTTTTGATAAATTCTATTATACAAGTATCAAGCAGAAGCTAATGGCGAAATTCATAATGATCTGCTTGTGAAAGAAAACCTCTTGGGTTATCTTCTAGCTCTGGAACATCTATTCACAGAGCTATATTGGCAAAACAGTTCACACACAAAAAAAGATCAGAGAAATAACCCCACAGCTAGAAGAGGCTACAGCTGGCCTGGGCTAGATATAGAGGCTAACTACAGAGGACTGAATGAGGTTGGGTGTAGATCTGATAGGTCCCCTGGGCAAACATAGCAATGAAGGTGGGGGGAAGGCTGTGCTAGTTAGGAAGAGGACAGCAGTATATCAGAGAAGACCACCAGGGACGCAGAGCAGGGAGAGGATTTGACTGGCTGGGATTATTGGGGGGATATGAAAGGAGAACTGCTAAGGATCAGAGAAGCTTGCTGGGCAGACCAAGTGTAGGAGCGAGGGTGAGAGGTTTGGGGTTGGCGTTGTCTGCGCTGAAGGTAGAACAATGAAACAGCCCTCCTAGGACTAAACTAAAACAGCTTTTTAAAATCCACCCACAAATCTCTTAAGAGCATCCCCATTTCACCCTTTGTCAACATTATTTTCTCTTTTTTCCATTATGATTAAAATCAAGCTTTGACTCCTCTCTTATCCTGGGGAGTATCTTATGTATGTGCCTACGTAAATACGCAGTCACGTACATACCTGAACATCAACTGGTAGTGGGTGAGGGCTAGCGCTAGTGTTTGTAGGTAGATTGGGATTCAGCTAACATTCTTATTTAAATAGGGTTGATTTTGCAGTACTTTTGCAACTCTTGTCAATTATACGAGAAATTTTGCAATACTATTCAGGATCCAACACTCGCTGATTAACTCCAACCTACTGTAGGATATTTGGAACTCAAGTCTCAGGAACAATATTATATTATTTAATCAGCTTTAAATAAGCTGATAAATGTAGATTTTTGACTTTTATTACAGATGGGTTATGACCAATATTAGTCATCTTTAATTCCTTGCATTTCCCTAATTGAAGTACCGGTAATGAAAAAATAGGGAAGTATTTCAGCAGAGTAAGATTTTTTTTTGTATGACTAGGTTGAAAAACGGTTTAGTTTTTACTTAAAAAAATAAACATTCTTTATTGCACAATCACTCAGAGAATTTTTAAAAGGTCATGCTTCTTAAAACCCTTTAAGACATTCTTTATGCTTTTTTAGTAATGATACAAACCACAAAGCGAATGCTTAATCTCATCTGTGACTTTGCTGTGAAGCCATTACTTAATATTTTACTGAGCTATTCACATTAATTTCAATCATTATTTCCTAATCATAACTTTTATCATAACATATTAGATAACATTTTTTGTAAGATGTGTGTTAAGGAAGTTTAATTTTTAACAATTTTTTTTCTAGTTAAAACTTTATCATGCAGTAAGTCTTTTTGGGAGCTATTTCGGAACTTTCTGAGATTCAAATTTGTATAAAATGTACAATGAATATTAAATGTGCAAATACTGTCAATGAAAATGTTACATTCAAACTATCCGATTTAAATTAAAGCTTTCACATGTAAATGGTTTTGTACCTTTAGTTGCATTTATAAGGTTATTTACTTGTCCTCACCCCACCCTGTGTAGTATGTTCAATCATGAGTGTTTTTTTTTTTTTTTTTTTTTGAAAGGTCATGGAAATTAATGATGTATAAATTGTGGTTAGGGATTTTCAGCTGGTCTCTTTCTTTCAAGATGGCATCCATGCAGATGTGGTCACTGCAAGGATTATCTGTTTTTTATTGGTTGACAGTGGCATCTTATCCTTATGCCGAGGAACCAGCATGCCAACAAATAGGGGATGTGGAAGAAGCAGAGCTTATTAAGAATGGTGACATTATGTTGGGAGGAATCTTCTCTTTCCACAGCAGCTGGAAAAACATCCAGGAAAACTATGAAAAAAAACCTCAGCGACTGCAATGCACCAGGTGAATAACAAAGCTATTTCTCTAAAGATCATTAATCCATTGTCCTTTTATATCTTGATGTTTTTTTTTAACACATTAAAACAAGTCATTTAAAAACAGTATTATTTATGATTTTTTTTCTATTTAAAAAATGTGTTTTATAATTTCCTACTTATAGATTTTCTGTCTTAAGTTTAAATTTCAGAGACTTCCAGTTTGCACAGGCCATGCTCTTTGCCATTGAGGAAATTAATAACAGCACAGAGCTCCTGCCAGGAATTACTCTGGGCTATAAAATGTACGATACTTGTGGTTCTATTGCAAGAAGTGTGAGAGTTGCACTGGCATTACTCAGTGGTAATGAAATTGAGGCTTCACCTGCAAATGCATGTAGAACGCCTGCACAAGTACAGGTGATAATGGGAGAGACCTCTTCCTCTCCTAGTGCAGCAATTGCCACGGCTGTTGGACCCTTGCGGATCCCAATGGTGAGTTAAAGGTAGAATAACCTTTATATTGTTTTTGTAAAACTGAATTATTTACATAATATGTATGTATTTCTTTTAGATCAGCCACTTTGCAACATGTGCTTGTCTCAGTGATAAAACTAAATACCCCTCATTCCTTAGAACAATACCCAGTGACTATTATCAGAGCAGAGCCCTGGCCCAATTAGTTCAATATTTTGGTTGGACTTGGATTGGTGCTCTTAGAACCAATGATGACTATGGAAATAATGGCATGTCAACATTCATAGCAACTGCACAGCAGCTGGGTATATGTGTGGAATATTCTGTATCATTTTTTAGAACAGATCCATCAGACAGAATACAAAAGATCATTGAGATTATTAAGACATCTACCTCAAAGGTCATTGTTACTTTTCTGTCCAACATGGATTGGGATGTGTTGTTACATGAGTTCTCTAAAAACAACTTAACTGGCTACCAGTGGGTGGGAACTGAAGGCTGGATTTTTGATTCTCAAATTGCAGCAATGGATACAAATCATATTCTAGATGGTGCTATCGGTCTTTCCATCCCTAAAGCACATGTAAGTGGAATACAAAAATTCATGTTTGATGTTAGGCAATTGAATTCTTCGAATAGTGTCTTATTTAGAAACTTCTGGGAGGCACTTTTTAGCTGTAAATTCAATCAGTCAAATTCTGGAGAGATTGAGAATGAATGTACAGGAGAGGAAGATTTAACCCAAGTGGAAAACAGCTTCACTGACATGTCATTGATGCCCATATTCAACAATGTCTATAAAGGAGTTTACGCAGTGGCCCATGCTCTGCATGAAATTCTCGACTGTAATAAAACATGTCACAAGAATGTCCAGCTAAATTCCTTGACAGTAAGGTTACCCTTGACTATACTTAGCAATAATACGATATCTGAATATAATTTCTAAAGAATATTTCTTTATCAAACCTTGCTTTGTACCCATCTAAATATTGACATCTATTTTATCCTTTTTTAATTAAGATTTTACAGCATTTGCAAAAGATTCACTTTAAAACAAAGGAAGGAGAAGATGTTTATTTCAATGAGAATGGAGACCCACCGGCTAGATATGAAGTTATTAACTGGCAACCAACCAACAAAAACATGGTTAAATTTGTCAGTGTTGGAACATATGATGCATCTCTACCTAAAGATAAACAACTGAATGTGCATAGTTTGTCTTTGATTTGGGCTAAAAACTCTCTTCAGGTAACATAGTAAAAACTTCTTTCACTGTAGCATATTTTGATTCTGTTTATTACTCTTTGTCTTGATGCATGAAAAGTAACATTTGCATTTATAGGATAAGAATTGCTCCAAAACATAAAACATTTATGTATACACATATTCACACACACACACACACCAACTTGTCTCACTGTGTTTATGGGTTAATTCATTTCTGACCATTCTTGTGGGGGCCGGTTCCTGGACCCCACAAACAGTGGTTTATCCCCATAATGTGCTATTTTTCTGGAAAATGGGCCACACAAAGTATCAAATGGTCAAATACAAGAACGCACACATAGACACCCCTACAAGTGTGTGCGTGTGTGTATAACTTTATGTTAGGGTAAGGGCTAGGAATATACTGATAAGGGTTAGGGTAAATGCCAGGGTTAGGCATGACTGCAGTAACTAAAATGACTGTAAGTCAATGTAAAGATATTAGATGTGTGCATTTTCTTTTTCAGGTCCCTGAGTCAGTTTGCAGTAAGAGGTGTCCTCATGGAACCCGCAAAGTCCTCCAGAAAGGAAGACCCGTCTGCTGTTATGACTGCGTGCAATGCACAGAAGGAGAAATGAGCAACATTACAGGTTCTGTATCACGTAGGGCTACTGGAATTGGAGAAATACAACTGTATTACTTTACTGGGATTCTTAAATGATGGATCTAAGTTATTTAAGAACAAGAGAGATTGCTTTGGAAAATTTACTAAAATCAGCACACTGGAAGTGCAGTAAAAGAATGTGCTATACATTTACTTCCTAACTTATTAATTATGTAACGTAACAATATTAATGGAATCATTGATTCTTAAGGTGCATTCACACCAGAAGTGAAGCTTGCAAAAATTTTGACAGTTTCATCTGCTTTTGCTTGCCTTGATCAGGCCAGCTGACAGCTTTTCTAGGGTCAGTTGCCCTATTTCATAAAACTTTCTGTATTTTATAATGGATATTTTCAACCCATCTATTGAATTTAGTGCAGTAGTTGTTTTCTGTACTTCATAGGAGAACAGCAAGCACTGCTAAATATGGCCTTTTTGACCTGCTGTATATTAGCCAGCCCCTAACATTTTTTCCCCTTTCATTGTAGGAGTTAGAATAGATTAGATATTTGGGAATTTTTTGCCCTCCGAATCTGTGGCAGTTCATTTTTTCCCATCTCTGAGAAAGGCTTCCTTTTTGCCATTTCAAACATTCACTCAATCAAAATCAGTCTTTTTTGTTGGCCACAGTGCAGGATCATTGAAATTAAAGGCGTGATCCGTCTTTTAGCCACTATGCTCAGACTCTCTGATCAGGCAGAAAGCCCCTCCACTTGCACTCTTACTCTCACTTGGTAGGGATGGCTCTCTGTGTCTCCTCCTCAAACACATGTTCCCCCTGACCACGAAGGCTGCAACGCCTCAGCTGGCTCTCCTGCTCCGCACCGTCTTTCACACTGCACCTGGACCTTTGCCATCTTTCTACTCTTTTGGCTCAAGGTTTAAGTATTTTTATAAAAGAAAATGTGTTTTTTTTCTCCCTTACACTAGTTAGCGGAAGCTATACTTTATTTTGTATACACAGCGTCTACAAAACAAAATTTCGATGAATAAAGCTTTCCAACAGTGAATGAGCAGCTTGGCAGTGAAATTAACATTTCTATTTATAAAGTGCATCAGTGATCAAAACGTACAGTGTAGGAGAAAAAGAAAACTAGTTTAAGAATTAACTGCCCCCTGCCCCTGTAGCTTACAGCCACATCTAAACCCTGACTAGATTTTGCATTGGGAATGTATCCAAAAGTTAAATTTTTTTTTACATAATTCGCTCAAATCGTGCCATTCATCTCCCTAAATTTGCCACCATCACCTTCCGCAGCTTTGATTTGCTTTGCTTCATTCCAGATTGGCCCTTCTAAAAATAGATAACACGGGAATCCTTTGCTCCAGCTGTGAAATTCACATTTGGTGTGAACGTACCATTAGAACTTAAAGTCTCTTCTATCGGAGACAGATATTTTTTAAGTTGTTAGTCAAGTTGGTGTTGCTGCAAGCCAGGCTTTTCATACTAGTCCAACACATTGTTTGCACATAGCTGAATTATTAATGTCTGAACACATATCTGATTGACACATACACCATCAGTCTTCAATAAAATTTCATATTCTTCATGCTGACAATGTTTTAAGCATGAGGACTTGTTGATATGAAGGTATTTGCATTTTTTATCTTTTAACATATGATTTGCTGGAGCAGTAAGATATTTCCCTCTAAGATAAACTGGAATTATCTGGCCTGAACACCGAAAAGGTTACAAGTTTATTGTAAATGTTAAAAAACAAACATTCCCATGTATTAGATAGACAACTAAATACACACAGCATACTTTGTGCACACAATAACAAAGTGTGATTTGTAAAATTGTGTATATATAAAACATACTGATGGTGATAAAAGTGGCTCTAGAGTATGGTAGCCTTGCTTCTGTCAGTGAGCCCCAGGGCAGCTGTGGCTCCAATGTAGCTTGCCACCATCAGTGTGTGAGTGTGTGTGTGAATGGGTGAATGGCTGAATGTAGTGTAAAGTGCTTTGGTTAAGTCCTAAATACAGGCCATTTATCATTTTAAAATATAAAATATAACTAAAGTTGTTTCACCCTACACTGGAATATTCCTGATAAATAATAAGCTTAATATTTTTTTTTGCAGATTCTATCACCTGTTTAAAATGCCTCCCAGACTTCTGGTCAAATGAGGAAAGAGATGCCTGTATAAAAAAAGAAGAACTGTTCCTGTCTTATGACGAAATTATGGGACAATTACTAACAGCAGTTTCTTTAATTGGTACATGTATGACTGCTGTTGTGGCAGCTATCTTCTTCAGACATCGGAAAACACCACTTGTTAGGGCAAATAATTCTGAACTAAGCTTTCTATTGCTCTTCTCTTTGAGTCTGTGTTTCCTCTGTTCCCTGACCTTCATCGGCCAACCCTCTGAGTGGTCCTGCATGCTTCGTCATACAGCTTTTGGAATCACCTTTGTCCTCTGCATCTCATGTGTTCTCGGCAAAACAATAGTGGTTTTAATGGCATTTAAAGCCAAAACCCCAGGTAGACATGCCAGACAATGTTTCGGCCCTGTGCAGCACAGGTTCAGTGTTCTGGGTTTTACTCTAATACAAGTTGTCATATGTATCCTTTGGTTAACAATTTCTCCCCCTTTCCCAATCAGGAACTTCAAGGAATTCAAAGATAAAATTGTTCTGGAATGCAATTTGGGATCCACAATTGGTTTCTGGTCTGTGCTTGGATATATAGGGCTTCTTGCCATGCTGTGTTTTATCTTTGCTTTCCTGGCTCGAAAATTACCTGACAATTTTAATGAAGCTAAACTGATCACCTTCAGCATGCTGATATTCTGTGCGGTGTGGATCACCTTTATACCAGCATATGTCAGCTCTCCTGGGAAGTTCAGTGTGGCTGTAGAAATTTTTGCTATTCTAGCTTCAAGTTTTGGATTGCTAATTTGTATCTTCGTCCCAAAATGCTTCATCATCTTACTTAAACCAGAGAAAAATACAAAGAAAAATATGATGGGAAGGGGGTCACAAAAATAGTTTTAAAACATTTAATTAATTTGGATTTTTTTTTCTGCATATGTAATGATTTAGATTGTAAAGTTTTTACTCACTACTTATACACAAGGGCCATAACAGCGCACCTAGTTATGGAGTGGTACAGATACGGTGCCATATACTAAAAACAAACAAAAATATGGTTATAATATTTTAACTAAGTACAATATCTGATGTAGTGACACCTATTGAACACAAGGTGGAGCTTGTTGTGCTTGTTGGTGTAGTTCTTTCTGCTTGATTACCATGTCCAAAGAAAAAACTAAAATGAATTGACATGTACAGAAAACACTGAAATAGTGAGCAGAAACAGAAAAAAATATCAAGGTTACTAAATATGCACATGAAATGTACTAATACCAACTAAAATGTATTAATATTTGACCCATTGGGTGCAAAATGTAAAATTCTCTTTCCCCTTTATTACTAGAAACTGCACAGTAAAGAACACCCACTAAGTTGTAAACAGATGCTTTTCCACAATCCAGCAGCAGATGGGTCCTCAGCCCTCTGCATACTCATTGCCAACCATTTTTACATTAGTTTGATGTAGACTGCTTTAGATAGCCTAATTATTTCATTTTCTTAACTTAAGGATAGAATATTTTTATTTGTGTAACCCCAAATTATTTTTAGTCGTCATATATCCAAGTTAAAGTAAACTTTTTACCAACACATTGCTTCTTTCTTTAAGTAAAATGTATATTTTGAATCCTGACCTGAAACTTCTTATGACCTGAAGAATCTTATGTTTAGGGGAAGGACAACCTTTAACCTCAAACAGTTTGAGGTTGCAAATGTTTAATTTCTATGAGGTCATTAACAAAAAAAAATTGCTTTAAATCAGGCAATGGACACAAGCAAAAGAAGCTGTTAGATTGCTGTAATGCTGTTTTTATTCACTATTAGGAAGTGATATGTGATTTTTTTATAGCCTTTTTCACTCAAATGTAAAACAAATAATTTTTGTTTGTTAATAATGGTCCTTTAAAATTATTCTATTATCCAATAAAATATGTCTTTCTACCGAAACACATTTTAAAAGTTGTATGAATAATTTTAGAAAAGATCTCTTTTTTGTTTTTAAAAGTTTGTACTGTCTCTTGAGTGTAACTTCTACAAACCCACCCCCGTATCCCACTGTGTATAAAGCCCTGTCATGATAAGTAGAGCTGATATCTAATAGAGAAGAAATATGCCGCTGTTCAGGCTGCTACTGATGGTTGTACTAACAGGACAAGGGAAAATGGTTTGTCGGCTCAGGGGTGGAACGCAAAAGCCTGAACTAGAGCAGGATGGCGATATTATCATTGGAGGCATTTTTTCATTTCGAACAGGCCAGGATTATTTTACGGACACATTTCAATCAATTCCAGGCTTCCGAACCTGCAACAAGTATGGCTAAGCTTGTATTTTTATAGTTATCAACTGTAAAATCACCTTGTTTTTTCTCTTTTTAAATTAGTTATAGAATAATGCATGTTCTGCTTTATATCCATATTGCTGGGACTTAGATTTCAGTTTGATCATGTGTTTCCAGTTTCAATTTTAGAGAATTCAAATTTGCCCAAACAATGATTTTTGCTATTAATGAGATCAACGCAAATACTGAAATGCTTTCTGGTCTGAAACTTGGGTACAAGATCTATAACAACTGTGGGACTATGGACATACTGAGAGCTGCACTGGCACTTGTAAGTGGGCTTAAAGAGGAAGTCACTGATGAAGCCTGCACACACGCAAAGACAGTGCAAGCAATCTTAGGCCATTCAGGATCAAGTCCTACCATTGCCTTTCTACAGATAATCGGGAGGTTTCAAATACCTGTGGTAAGTTAAAAACAAAACATTCATAAACTACCAGTGAGTTGTCTGGGTATTCTGTTAATTATATTTAATTGCAACAATAATGCTCAGATGCTGAATTAGTTCTACAAATGTTGAAATCAGAAAAAAATTATGAAATATATTTCTTTGTTATAACATAGATCAGCCATTTTGCTACTTGTGCCTGCCTGAGCAATAGGAGAGAATATCCAACGTTTTTCAGAACTATTCCAAGTGACTTTTACCAAAGCAAAGCTCTGGCAAAGCTGGTCAGGCATTTTGGGTGGACTTGGGTTGGGGCTGTAGCTGTAGATAATGAATATGGCTTGAATGGAATTGAGGCATTTATCCAAGCTGCAGAAGACTATGGAGTATGTGTGGAATACTCTGCAGCATTTTCCTCATCTGATCCACCCCATGTTGTACAGAGAGTAATAAACACTATAAAGCAGTCCACTTCAAAGGTCATTTTAGCTTTTACTTCACACATGGAAATTAAAATACTTGCCTCTGAGTTGCACAAACAGAACATCACAGGGATTCAGTGGATCGGCAGTGATGCATGGATCACAGATTCCTCCCTTACAGACAGCGAAGGACACACAATTCTGGTTGGATCACTTGGCTTCACTGTTGCCAAAGCTAAAATCCCTGGCCTAGAAGAACATCTGAGGCAGCTTCATCCTTCACAGTTCCCAAACAGCCAATTTGTTATAGATTTTTGGGAAGAAGTGTTTGATTGTTGTCTAAATGAAACTGGGAACACACAAAGAAAGCCCTGTAGTGGCTTGGAAAGTTTGAAAACAGTTGAATCACTTTTCACTGACGTTTCTGAACTCAGATTTACTAAAAATGTCTACAAGTCGGTCTTAGCAGTGGCTCATGCACTTGACATGATGTTTAAATGTGATGATAGAGGATCCTACTCTAACAGCAGCTGTTTTGATCCCAAGCACATAGAGCCATGGCAGGTGAGAAACACAGAGCTTATTGTTATATATTATGTCATTTACGAGACTACGACTTCGTTTGTACCTCTATTTTTTTTTGCAGATCTTGCATAATCTCAAGAGTGTAAATTTCACCACTCCGGATGGGGAACGGGTTTATTTTGACAATAATGGAGACTCACCCGCAAGATATGAACTTGTAAATTTAAGAATGACATCTAGAAGAATCATGAAAGGAGAAACTGTTGGCATTTATGATGCTTCTTTTCCAGATGACAAGCAGTTCATTATGAACAACATCTCAGTAGTGTGGGCAAATGGTTTGTTAGAGGTAGTATTTTCTGTGTGTTTCAAACAATTTGATGAGAGCGGATTGTTTTGTTGTACAATGCTATATAATGTTATTCAATTATCTTTTTATCTGCTAGATGCCCGTGTCAGTCTGCAGTAAAACTTGTCTCCCTGGAACTTATAAAGTCCTCCAGAAAGGAAAACCAATCTGCTGTCATGACTGCATACCCTGCTCAGCAGGCGAGATCACAAACTTGACAGGTAAGCTTAAGATTTAAAGAATCAGTCTATAGTTTTAAGAATCTATTACAAGTTTTCTTTTCTTTGGTTTTCAGATTCATTGCAGTGTCTTAAATGCCCTCCAGAGTACTGGTCAAACAGCCGAAGAGATGCCTGCATTCCGAAGCCAATTGAGTTCTTAGCATACAATGAAATCTTGGGGACAGTGTTGGCAATATTTTCTCTATTAGGAATCTTTTTAGCTATGATCACAACACTAATCTTTTTTACCCACAAAGAGACCCCATTGATAAGAGCTAACAACTCAGAGCTAAGCTTCCTGCTGCTTTTTTCCTTGACCTTGTGTTTCCTGTGTTCTCTAACCTTCATAGGGCGCCCCACTCAGATGTCCTGCATGCTGCGGCATACAGCATTTGGCATGACCTTTGTCCTATGCATGTCTTGTGTTCTTGGAAAAACAATGGTGGTTTTAATAGCCTTCAGGGCTACACTTCCAGGCAGCAATATAGTCAAATGGTTCGGGCCGACACAGCAGAGACTTAGTGTAATATCTTTCACACTTATACAGGTTTTGATTTGCATACTTTGGCTAACTATAAGTCCTCCGTTCCCTTTTATGAATTTTGCCTTGTATGAGGATAGAATAATTTTACAGTGTGATCTTGGTTCAGCCATCGGATTCTATGCTGTTTTGGGGTACATAGGATTTTTGGCTGTTTTATGCTTTGTACTTGCTTTTCTGGCTCGGAAGCTACCAGATAACTTTAATGAAGCTAAGTTTATTACTTTCAGCATGTTGATATTCTGTTCAGTCTGGATTACATTTATTCCAGCATATATCAGCTCTCCTGGTAAGTTAAGTGATGCTGTGGAAATATTTGCTATTTTAGCTTCTGCCTATGGAGTTCTGCTCTGCATTTTTCTGCCAAAATGCTTTATAATATTGTTCAGACCAGAACAGAACACCAAGAAATGCATAATGGGGAAGACTGTCAGAACGGATATCCAATATTAGTCTGTCAAAAATGTGTTTAGAAGTTGTGTTGGCACACTGAATATACTGTAATTTTAATGATTGCACTGCTATCTGATGAATAAATACTTTCCCTTGGTAAAGATGTTTGTTCATTTACCTTTAATTTAAACCCAATCCCACATCACATTAAGACAAAGTGAGTAAAGAATGTTTGAAGGTTTCCCTTCGTTTCTAAAACAGGTGAAAATATGTTTGTATGCACAGACCAGATCTTCAAAGGTCTTCAATTCAGCAGAGAGCATGAACAAACTTTTTTTTTTGCATGTGTGCGTTCATTAACATGTAGATGATATTTTAATGACCAAGCACAGCAAATTCATGGGTGGAAAATATTCAAATGTAAACCTATACCATGTGCAAAGCAATTTTTTTTTTTTTTTAACTCAAGTGCGGTCAAGTTCTTACAACTTTTTTAGTACAAAGCAAAGCTAAACTGATATGGACAGATATCTGCTGTCATTTTTGCATTGGAGGCATTAGTACAATGCCAGGTGCTAAAAAAAATGTGGAACATAAGAAATAACATAAAATTATATTAAAAATGATCTACACAAGCTGCCAAAATTCCCCCAAGGGGATAACTAGAGGAAAATGGACTGTAGATAACTTAAGACAATTATGAAGCCATGAAAAACATAAAAAAAACCATGACCTAAAGATAACAGAAAGAATAAAAAATATAAAACTAGACCAAGGAATAAATAAATACCAAAAATGTTGAAAGAGATACCTGAAAAAATTAACAGCAAGAGTAAACAAAAATTTAAAAAGATAAGTATATAAATCTTGACAACAACATAGAATAACATAAATAACAACATAACTGAGAACCCAAAATGAAAACTAAACAGAACCAAAATGTCCAGAGAAGTAGATCATGTCATAGATAGGCAACGAGGTGCACAAAAAATATAATTTTCTATTAACATTATTATTTTTTTTTAAAGAATTATCATTTTAATCTCCATCTCCATGGCTTTGAACCTTATGTCTTTTATAGCCACTTTCAACTGCCTTTAATCATTCAAAATTAAATAAAAGTTACACTTCTTCAAATTCTGGAGGAAAAGTACACAAATTGTCTTCTTTGAGTCTCACATAATCTTACACAATCGGTTTTGCTCCAGTTTATCTAAAACAAATGGTGCAAAACAAATTAAAAAACTTTTAATAAAATGCTCTCCTTTTTTATGTTATTTATTTTCCGTAACAGTAAAAGTCTCATAGATACAAACATTTTTGTCAAACTTCGTAGGTAACCCATCAGCACTTTGCTTAGCAATACATTCCACCTTCAGGGTTAAATTTCAGCCCAAGCCTCTCTGCTGACTATTTTGTTACCACTTTTGGCAAATTCTGCAAAATTTTATTACAGCCGGGTTGAAAATAAGAACTGTGTTCACATTTCTGTTGTGAAATTCATTCAGAGACCAGATGGGGCTGTGAGCTACAGTTAAGGCTGCAGCAGGGTCAAATTTTTTCATTTTAAAAATTATATTTTTTGTTATTCTGAAAGATAGTAAACAGATCTATAATTACAGGAATCTGTTTCAATAAGCAGGTTTAACAAACTCCGTTTCAAATTCTCAACTCTAAATTGATCTAGCCTAATGTTGGGAACTCTGAGTTTTTGGTTTCAGCTGCTGTGAATTAGTTCAATCAACTCTAAGCAAATCCACTCAGATTTGAACATGTGCATAACAACTATGATAATCCATTCAGTGGAGAGCCGTTTCGATGAGGCAACATGACGATAGCCAAAAGGAATTGCCAATTTCATTCAACTAGAACTAAAGGTTTTAATGCAAAAATGGAAAAAAAAATTGTTTAAAAGATTGAGAAGCAGCACTACAGCAGCAAAGGAGTGTGAGAAGGAGTGGAAGAAGGTTGGTGCTCGAGTTAATGTGGACGTTTATATGAGGTCTTCTATGGCAGGCCTTTTTGACATTAAAAACACTCTTCTCTCTGTTTTTAGATCACTCAAATTGGATTCTTCCTTGTGGAAATCATATTTCTAGTCAGAACTGTAATGATAGATGTTCTAAATTTAATTTTTGTAGTAAAAGCTGAATTTCAGAAGGTAAAAAAAAACAAAATTTAATTAGCACAAATTAAAATTTCTATATATAGAAATATTTAAACTTTTTAGTGGCCATTATGAAATTTATCAGCTTGACTAAATATGTATTTATGATACATCTCTTCTTAGTCAAAATAATACAAATGACCTGAAAAAGATTAACATAGAGATCTGAAAATAAATTCAACACAGCCAGAATTTTATTCTAGATGTGAAGAATGTTATTTCATTTTTGTTTCAAATGGTAATTTTGACAAGGATTTTCTTTTTTTTTTCAGTTATCAGAAACACATAATCAGCTAAACTATTTCATATCAAAATGGCTTACCATATTGTGACCACAACAACATTTGGGGTTTATTTCTTGAAAGTAGTAGATCAATATTTAGGTAAAATCACCAGGCAGCAGGAGATTATTAAGTCTAAAAACGTTCTAATAGGTAGTACCTGTTCATTATCTCATGTAGTTCCTCAGTTGGATTCTGTCTTACATTATACACTTAATGCTAAGTGTCTGTTTCCAGCCGCTTTGGATGTTATCATCCCAATAAATGGCCATTACTAGCGGTTATTATTCCCATAGAATGTCTTCAGATTGTGCTTCCTACATACCAGTACACTGCATAAAAAGTG